ATGCTGGGCACATCACAAGGCCTGTCTTCTGCACGCCATGCAGGCCCAGGCCCAGGCATAGTCAAGGGCAGGTACCCACTCAGGCACAGGTGGAAAAGCTGGGATTCAGAGAGCAGAGGCCTGGGAGTCCTGCTGGAGCAGCCCCTGCTGGGCCAGTTTCCTGCTGGACACTGGATGCCCCATTGGGAGCGGGGTGAGGCTTGTCCTGCCTTTGAGAGGCCTTAGAAGCAGAATTAATTGGACTGAACCACTCCTGAGGGGAGAGGGTGGAGCAAATGAAAGAGAGAAGAGGACAGCTGGAGCATCAGAGGGCTGGGATATTGGCCCCAGCCCTCTCTTCTCTAGGCCAAGGTTGGCAGAACATGGAAGACACAGGACCAGCCTTGGAGCCATCTTTCAGTAAATGCTAGGAGCCATTTTATTGTGGTGATAGTGTTGGGATGTAGGACTCACACCTTTCTCTAAATCACACTCCCATAGAGGCCTCAACATAAGTGTAGCCCTTGGAAACTTTTTATACAGAAGTTTATACAGAATATTTTTCATTTTCATTTTTAAAAAAGTGTTCTGTTCTCTCCTGGCCTAGTTCTCAGAGGCACTTAAAGAGGGGAAAGAGGAAGAAATCAGTCGTGCTCACACTCCTGAGAGGCATCTGCCCGGTTTTCTCTTCCGGGTGACTTTTCATCTCACCATATTTTTAAACTGCTTCCCTTTGGAAAAACAGGCAGAGAAATGACCCCTAACGGCCCCAAACTAATTGGAAGCAGTTTCCTGGGAGCTCAGCCATCTCTGTATGTGCTAGAGTCTGAGGAAGGAGGAAAGAGGAGGGTGGCTTAAGCAATCTTTTGCTTTTTCAGAGGAAAGGGTGTTAATGTCATCCTGAGATTTTCTCAATGAGCACACCTCCTCTAACTCTTGGCCTCAGAGGCCTATTTGCAGAGGGTGGATTAAATAAACGCTGGGGGTTGAGTCACCCTTTTGAAGCATTCACTTCAAAGGAGCCCCAAGGAAAGAAAAAGCTGTCAATGAGGAGAAAAACTAGGNTTTAGATTCAACATGTGAGTGAAATCATATGGTGTTTGTCTTTCTCTGTTGGACTTGTTTCACTTAGCCTATATGTTCTCGTAAGGTTCTGTGTCCCATTTTCTTAGGACCCTGATGCCCCCTCCAGAAAATGACTGTCACAGGAGAGTGGTTAAGAGTGCAGGTTCTAAAGCCAGACTGCCTGGGTCCATAGCCTAAATCCACTGTCTAGTAGCTATGGGAACTGGGACAAAGTACTGAACTTTGTGCCTTAGTTTCCTCATTTACAAAGTTATGACAATAATAACACCTATCTTGTGGAGTTGTTGTAAAAAATGCTACATGTAAAACACTTAAAACAGCGCTTTGGAAATAATAAGTTCTCAGACAATATTAACAATTGCTATGGCCTGAATGTGTGTCCCCCAAATTCATACATTGAAATTTACCCCCCAAGGTGATGGTATAATGATGTGGAGCCTTTGGGAGGCAGTGAGGACATGAGGGCAGAGCCCTCACAGATAGGATTAGAGCCCTTATAAAAAAGACCCTAAAGAGCTCTTTTGCTCCCTTCTGTCATGAAGGAGAATCTGCAACCCAGAAGGGGACCCTCACCCGACCATGCTGCCACCCTTATCTTGGACTTTTAGCCTTTAGAGCTGTGAGAAACGAATTTTTTCTGGTGTTTAAAGCTATGCAGTCTATGATATTTTGGTATAGCAGCCTGAATGGACTAAGACAATTTAAAAATTAGTAAGTTCTTAGTCAAAGTTAATTTATTAATGTTAATATGTTGTGTTTCCCATCATTTGAATTTTTTGAAATTTTGCCTTTTAGTTTATCTTATATGAATATTTCTGCTAGGCGTTTCAAACAGGTTGGCAGAAGACTTTAAGGAATCTTCATATCATTCCACGCAGGCTGGTATCTATTCTGGCTGGCTTTAGAATCAGACATCAAGTTGCTAGCTTAA